TCAAATCATCTTTTATCCCGAATCACACGAACCCAAAGAAGGATAACACTGGCGTCGAACAGACTTTGCTGCGTGGATCGTAATTCGAACGTATAACATAACGACATAATTGACAAAACCGATTTTAGACTGACATGATCCAAGAACTTTGATCTTGTAGAACTTTCGAGGTGACGATAGAATCCTGCTCTTTGACATAAAAAATGGGCCTTTGAGCTCTAGTAAATACGTATTTTGTTCACAGTGATAAATTTTACACATGGGTATTCTTAGCTTGAGCAGTTTGCGTGAAATACCATTTGTCAGTCTTATCTACTGAATAGGGCACAGAAATGAAGATTATATTCAAGGTGAAAGCTTGAGTTCTCATTCACGGGATTTTGGATAATTTGGAAAAAAGGAAAGCAAGGCACAAAAGTTCACCCACTAATTTCCAAAACTTTACCACACAGTCGAGAATGCTCGAGAAGCCACTTACTGTTATCAGCTGAGTGCCGTCTGGTCTGCTAGATATTGCCATTGCCTATTTTGCAATAATTTTCTTTCGTGCAACTAATCTTATCCAAATCAGTAAAGGTTCAGACTTTCAAGAAAAATGTCTTAAAATTGTCTCCAGCAATTATCCCTGACATCCCCCAGACTACTGTCAGTTCGACTAAAACTTTCTTGTGTTACCTGAAAACTACTCAAAGTAGGCGGAGCTTCATATCGGTATCAGAGGAGTATAAAAAAAGTACTCCAACCGCTTGCCATCTAAGCTAATTTTCATAACAAGAAAATTATTCATTCAACCCAACAGCAATTTGCAAAGCTTAGACGAATGTGATATTAAACGAAAACATGCCAGGAAGTGATCAATGATTAATAAAGAGGTAGAGAGGAATGGCTTTCAAAACGACCTGTTCTAACCAAAACGAAAATATGGATTGTAACATTAACTTTTGTTTCATCAGTTAGCAGTCGTAGTACCACTAGTCGTATTGCAAACTGTTGGTAAAAGTGAACAATCTTGCTATAAAGGAATGAACACCCGATTCCAATGGAAATGTTCAAAACTACAGCACTAATGATGACAAAACTAATACAAGTAAAGAACATGTTTTATCTGTACAACTAAACGCACACACACACACATACACACACACACCACACACACACACACACACACACACACACACACACACACACACACACACACATATATATATATATATATATATATATATAATATATATATACATACATATACATATATAGGCACGCATATATACATATATGTATATATATACAGATACACGCACACACATATATTTATATAGATGTGTTATATATATATATATATATATATATATATATATATGTATATATATATATATATGTATATGTATATATACATAAATATATGTATATGTATACACATATATTGTATAAATACATACATACACACACATATGTATATATATATATATATATATATATATATATATATATATATATATATATATATATATATATATATATATATATATAATACACACACACACACACCTCGGCAGCTGTGAAGTCAGAATGCATGAATATAGTGCGCGCGCACACACGGGTGGAATATGCAAGCCTGTATACCATATAACACAGCACTGTAATGCACTTACATAATTAATTCATACAAAAATATCTTTCAGATTTTGATTATAAACCTTTGGTACATTAGTTAAAAAAACAAGTTTTTGATCATCAATATCTCATTTTCTGAAACTGAACGAAAATGAAGACCTGAGCGTTCTGCGGACACCACTTGCAGATTCCACTGGCCTGTGGTGTCCTCTTTTGGCTCTAACACACACACAAAAAAAATTAAGCAGGATACCATTTCTAGAATGAATCCTGCAAAATTCTACTTCATAGAGGCAAATAATATGCAGATTGCCCTTGACTGATTCTTTTTGTCAAAATGAAATATGAAAAATAAGTAAATTGATAGATAACCTCCATAATATTTTTATTCCTCGCATATGATATTCTTATATGTACATCCACCAGTGCTCTAGAATGACCAGTGCATCCCAGCGGTGATGGATGTGAAATAGCTTTTGTATATATATAAAAAGGCCTTGCCTGTTTAAATTAATTCTAGTATTCAGAAATAAGAGAAGATATTGTGAAATATTGTGTAAACTCTAAAATAAATCATGTATACTCGTGTAACTCTTAATACATCAACTGTAGTTAAAGAACCTAGGGGTAATGGCTAATTGTTAAGAGTTTGAAGAAATAAAGTGCAAGACATCAAATGTCATATAATGCTATGGTAAAATATTGTGGCGAAAAGGGGAGATATGAGTTAACGATTAGGATAAAATGTGTTAGATGTCAAGAGTTGTAGAGTGCTATAGGACGTGTCCGCGGAAGGGAGAGTAATACTGTTTGACGAAAACTGAAAATGGGTCATTATGAAACCATTAACGGGTGATACGGGTGGAAATGATAGTTGGAGAAGTAGGTTAAAAATCTAGAGAATGGGATAAGGAACAGGGGAAGGTGGTGAAGTAACAGGAAGAATGTCAGGAGGGGGAGAATCTGGAGAAGGACGTTTTTGTGACATAAGGGAGTCACGTGAGCATCCAAGTGGGAGTGGTAAGGATAGTAGGGAAGGAAGAGAAAATTGTGATGCACGTGAAGGAGGAGGATGGGGTGTTCTTTGGGAGAGTGGGAGGAAGATTTTTTTTTATGAGGAAAAGAGAGAATAGATGTCCGAGTAGCAGACGGAGGTGGGTGATAAGAGAGGGTGTGGTAGAAGATGGAGTGAAACGATTAGATTGCCTGGTGCGACAGGTAGAGTATCTGGATTTAGACTGGAAAAGGAATTTGACTGGGGGAGAGGGGGTAGAGTTAGGATGTTTCGGGATAGAAGGAAGAAATATTGGGGGAGAGGTTGAGACATCTTAAGATAGAAGGGGATTGGAGTGAAGTGCATTTTTGAAATAAGTAGAAAGAGAAAAACCTCGTCGGCGTGCTTCTTGTTAAACTCATGTAGAGTGAGGCCTAGTCTGAATCTAAGAACTGCTAACTCAGATTCGAGCGTGTCGGCAAGGTATGCCTTATAAAATACATTATGGGAGCCACCAAAATTGGCATACGTGCGTGACTGAGCAGAGTAATTTGAACGGTCATGACCAAGTTGGGCATAGAGAGAGCAGCGGGCTGTGGATTGACAGTATTTTGCTGGTTGTCCAAAACGCCAACATATCTGACATTGACGGGGAAGAGGTGGATATGGTCAGACTGGGCAGGACTCCACCAATATAAACTTCATTGGGGAGTCATGTCTACGGAAGCTAATCTTGGCATTATTGATGTAGGACTTACACTGGCTTCTGGGAGGAATAGCGTAACATTGGACTGCCACTGCATCACATTCGACGAGGCATGCGAGCAGGTCGTTTTCACAGTCTGACCAGTCCTTGTCGTAGGCAGGACAATCAGTCGGGGAGGCGGGAACAGTTCCGGTACAAGTATTAAGAGAGGAGTGAGGTCAGTCATGGCAGACAAGCTTGAGACTCAAATGTACCTGCGGCAAGGCGTGAACGATCGGAACGACTACGAAAGGAAACTTTACCTACTTGTTTTGGAGACATTGTTAGAACAGAAGGGTATTGTCATACTAAGGGTATATATGGGGAATCACAAAGAATCGATCGCATTTGGCTGGGCCAAAAGTGCTATTCAAAAGATTCGCAGAAGTGGACGTAGTAGAAGGACGAGGGTATGATGCTGGGAGGGGGGGAGGGGGTATGGGAGGAGGACAATAAGGTTGAAGAGTAAGAATAAGAGGGTAGGAGGTAGACAATGAAGAAGAATGTATGGGAGGAGGACAATAAGGTTGAAGAGTAAGAATAAGGGGGTAGGAGGTAGACAATGAAGAAGAATGTACGGTAGGAAATGGAGCAGAGGATGTTGGAAGAATGGCCCCTAGGAACGCCATAAGGGGTAAGGGCTAGGCGATTAACTAAGGGAACACCTTGCCCGTTCACGACTGACACAGAGCCAGCCTTTCAGCCTTTCAGCACCTTAGGAAGTGGATAGAAGTGGATGAAGAAGAGAAGGAAAAGGAAAGGGGAAGAAAAGACCATGTTGGCTGAGGCGAGGGCTGAGGTCGAAGGTAGGGCTGATCCCCTACATTAGGCCCCAGTCCCCGCCTCTAAGCAACAATAACGAGCAAGAGAAAGCAAAACGGACACAGATTATGGCTCTCTGCAGCCGTAGCTTCTAAGAAGAGTCGTGGGTAGATTCGGACAAAGGTCTATATTCTATTTCATAGAACTTGGGTCGAATTTCATTATTCCCTTATAACCCTCTATAGAATTTGCCTTAGAACAAAAAAAAAAAAAAAAAAAAATCAGAAATTGGTTGGACATTCCCCAGGCATGATACTAATTTAAGCTTTTGCACTTCAGATATTTTGACATGAATATAAAATGAAGGTTAAAACTGGATGTAGAAGATTGTTTACTCTTACAAAGAAAGGCTATTGGGAACATGAGATCTCACAAACTGCTTGATGTAGACTTTAAGCCAAAGTCGAGAAATGTCTAGTATTATCAGTAGGAAAGACCTATATGTATAAGTAAGGGAAAAGGGGAATGTTTTAATTTTCTAAATTTGTTCATCTCACCTAAATGTAATATTTTTTTCTCAGTTCCCTCCCCCCTAGAAAAGTGTCCATTACAGGAAGAAAAAAAAATCAATTCTAAAGGAAGATAGATTTTGAACTTAGAAGTGTGTACAAAAATTATGCAGATCAGTGCATAAATCAGTATCCCATCATCTAAACCCCGATACCACATTTGAAATCAATTCGAGTCTCTGAATATAACCAACCACGCAAAAAACATAATTCATACACTCCGGAAATTTCAAATATACCACACTTAGAGAGAATATCAAGACATGAAACACATCCAATACGAAAAAAAAACTCCTGCGCAACCCTGATCTAGCGCCGGGTCTCGAGCCTTCTCCCCGAGATCGAAAATATTACATGTGTTGTGTAGGCCTAAAGCTACACAGTATTTATCGCCTGTCTTTCTATTTCCCTCGTTTTTTAAGATTCTACTCACAGTTGTCCGGAGGATGAAGCTCATCACGCATAATATGTTGACGAGTAAGGGGATAAAGAACGTAAAAGAAGGATTTCCACTAAAGATACAGGTAAAATTTTTATTTATTTTGATTATAATAGATTGATTTATGGATTTATATTTAATCTTGCAAATACATTTATGTTCGTACGTTTATTCTTGTTATATACTGCTTATCTGACCATGTGTTATGAATTAATGTTGTTGTACATGCATGTTTTACACATTTCCTCATCCATACAAATTTTATCAGCCATTCTAAATATTTCTTGTTATTGATACTGCATTACTGATATTGATAAGTATTTATGGATGATGTTAGTGAGAGTGATGCACAGAAAGGGAGGGAAAAGAACACTGCCATCTTCTAGAGTATAAGAAATAGAGTCATACACATCACAGCCACATTTGCTCCAGCCTCACATTTACCGCAAAAAGATAAAAATATCTGCTGCATATCACCCCTCAGAGATTTAGTCCACAACACACTCCCACAGCCAGAGTTCTTAATCTCATGTTTTCTGTAAGTTGGCACACATTATTAATAAAGGGTACAGGGAATAGATAGAAGAGTGGAAAAATTAGAATTAAATTTTAGGTTCACATGATACCTTGGTTTTGGGACTTCATCTCTGGACTTGTTACTCTCGGTAACAAATGCCACATTCGGAAAACCTTCCTCTGACTAATTGTGATGATATTAGTATCGATGGATTTCTCTCTCTCCCTGCGACCCAATATATAGAATTTTTGCCGCAGAAAACCCCCCAACCCACATTCTCGGCTCCAGTAGTAGGGGAGGGGGTAATTCTTTAGAGTATGTATGCACTCACTAGAGACTAAGTGCCTAACTCCACGTCACAAAATTTATTCAACAATCTAAGTTACCATGAGCATACCCTTCAGTCACTACCCAAGGGGAGGGTTGATGATGGGTTCTGCCCCCTAAACCCCCCAGGAAACATTGTCATCACCTCAGTATGGATAGCAAGAGAGAGCTGAACTCAGGAGAACTAAGTAGGCTTAGGCTATGAGTGGGGCTTTCAGCAATATTTTTCCTTTAACCTGTATCTGCCAGGTCACACCTATAGCGGCCATAACAAACCAACTCATTATGCTGGGTATGGCTATAGGCAATGCAACACGCTTTAAATTTTGCTACATGTAGCAGACTCCAGGGCCAAACGGCAGGACAGTTGCCAGAAGCCTCCAGAGTCAATAACACCAAGAGTTTTCAGATATCGTTATTGAGGAGTTAATTATGACATTACCATTTATGTCTGCAGATTATTTCTTGTACATATGACTGCAAATTTTAGTCCTCTACAAGAATATTATCTTCAATTTGCCCTACCTTAGTGCATCCATACCATAAAGATTAACCAGGGAGGGCATGAAGGTACCAGGGAAATTTTGGGGTATAATATGAATAATATACACAGAATCAGTCACTACATACAGTAGGTGGGCTGTGCTCTGTGATCCTGCTCGTGGGGGGCTACCACCCCCAACCCTGTAATGAAATACAAAGAAACCTTCTCATATTCATGGCAGGGTAGAGAGTGTAACTGCTATGCTGGAGCACCTGATGCCAAGTCTTTCCTATGCTCCATCCTACCAGACTCCTGTGGTGGATTCTTTGTTTCCAGGACAGGGGTTAGAGGGGCAGCAACCCCCTGCATTTGACTATATATTGATCAATTCTCTGATTATTATTCATATTTTAACCCACAATTTTCCAAGTACCATTAATGCCCTCCGCTGCTGTCAAAGCCAAGATTTGGGGGTAGTGGGGGTTTCCACGGCATACATAATCGAGTAGTAGAGAGTGAGAGGAATCAATTGATACCAATATCTTCATGATCAGTTATTCAAAGGTATTCTGAATATTTACCCAAATTTTGATGTGAATGGATTGCTTGTCAAGTTTATTTACCCTGTGTGTATTAGTAGTAATGGGATTCTGTAGAAGAGCTTTGCTTCACCAATGATGTAGTACTTGTTGAGAGACTACTTTTGATGTAAGCTGTACAGATAGGTAATGATAGATTTTACAAATTTGACATGAATAATAAATTGTAAGCTCATTCTAAAGTTCCTCTTTAGGGGAACTAGTCTAATCAAGGTTCCATGAGAGCCAGTAAATAGAATGTAGTATCAATCAGTGGTGAAGATTAACCTTTACCACATGTATACCTGCAAGTTAGAGCTTGGATTATTCTCTTAACCCAATGCCACCTGGGAAAATGAATAAAAAATGGGAAAAATGCTGTACTCATTTTCTATATTTTTTGTGAAGTGTCTCTGCACATAGATGGCTCTGCTAGTGCTTAGCCACAATAGTCAATTAGTAGACCTTGTGACCTCACCTTATTTGAATTGGTGGAAAATACATGTTTTTTAATAGTGCTATGAATATCTATGGTGTTACTTTTACTATAAACATTAGTAACAGCAAAATGAGATAACGTAAAATGTTTTCGTAAATCAAAGAAAAGGGTAAACGGGCAAGACAGGCAGTACTCGTAACTGGCTCGTTGGTGACTTAATACAAGTGTAGCCATCTATATGTAAAAACAATAAAACAAGTACTTCACAGTGGGCATAGCACATACGTACATGTCATGCCTGTCGGCATTGGGTTAATTGATGTCAAATTGCCAAGTAGAACTATAAGGCCCATCTTACAAGAATATACTGTTAGGTTTTGTTAAGCTTTGCCAGACATGAAGGGAAGTAATTGCTTGTTGTCTGATTCTTATACATGAGATGTGCATTTGGACCTGGTTTCTAGGTATTCACAAGAATATAGAATATAGAATATAAGTTTTGCAGTTTGTGGCTAAATTAGTTTCAAATACTGTTTGAGTTGCCAGTTACAACTTAGGTTAGGTACTGTATTGGCTTGTGGGTCTATCAATCAGTGACCTTTTCTGCCAATGGTAAGTTTGCTATATTATGTTGTAGCATGATAGCAGATATTCATATTGGCAAACATTTGAAATACATCTTCAGTATTTTCAGAGTAAGACTATAAGTATATTAGATGTGTTCTATCCAAATCTTAAAACTTTCTGTGATCTTTGATGTCTATCTTGAGTTTGAGGTCTGATAGTGGAAAAGTATCTAGTCAAGGCTGTGGTCATATTTTGTGTTCTAGAGATGCAAACATGCCTCCACCGCCTATACTCAGGCGAAACAAAGATTGGGTTGATTCCTACTTGATCAAATCAGATTACTCTGTTAAAAAGGAAGATATTAAATGATAATCAATATTAGGTGTACTGTTAATGAAGCTCTTGATACCAGGAGTACATGTATACATACCCTGCCCACCCTGATTTTATTTAATTTTTATTTTGGTTATACACAGATGGCTCAAGAAGTGCTTAGTCACTCATGGGTCAATTACTAGGCCTACAATGATCTCACTTGCTTACTCTATGCCTTGATTTTTTTAAAAGAAAGATTTTATTTTTATAACTATTCTAGAAATCTAAACTCCTTTCCCTAGAATTCAAGGAATGGGGTAAAATGAGGTCAGGTAGGCCTAGTAATTAAGAATATGATAACAAATCAATGCCACAGTAGATGGTGTATGCATCTAGCACCAATGGTTTACTTGAGGAAACAAATATATAAAAAACAGACATGAATAGATCAGTCAGATCCTACAAAAAGTAAAAGTTTGTGTATGAGGTTTAAAGATTTTAAAGATTCTTATATTCCTACAGCCCATAAACTAAGAACAGGTAACAAACCATGTTTTATGGTGAGCAAGGTGCACTTCAATCTGTAAAGCTATATTCAATGGAGAGAAATATTTTCCAGGTATTTGTTAATCAGCCCTCTCTGCACCTTTTATTCCTTAGGGAACATAATCCGTTTTGTAAGTCATTTAAGACCTTGCACAAATCTTATATTGCGGCAGTGTCTTTTTTGTTTTCATGCAGCATTTTATATATATTTCATATTGAAATTTAAAGTGAAACCTATGTAATATAGCAAAGCAGTATTCAAGAGAAGCATCACCTCAGCACAATATAGATGCTTGATACAATATATTTTCTAGAACTGCAATATCTTCAGGTACCTGTGTTGAATGATACAAGTGAGACTCACGCAGTAGCCATCTGGATATCTAATATTCATTACATTTTTTTTTTGTGTGTGTGTGTGTGTGTGTGTGTGTGTGTGTGTGTGTGTGTGTGTGTGTGTGTGTGTGTGTGTGTGTGTGTGTGTGTGTGTGTGTGTGTGTGTGTGTGTGTGTGTTTTTGTTTGTGTTTGTGTAAAGTATACATCTAAGGGTTTCTGTGAAGTAGCCTTTTACTTTTCTATTGGATTTTATCATAATGCATTGTATGCCATAGTTCTGCAATTACTATCACATGTTTCTCTATCTTCTTCATTATTAGTTGATATTTTTTTATATTTGCTTCTTTTCTTCACAGGCTGAGGAAGTGAGAAATGTGGACATTGATTTTGACAGAGAGTTTATCTCTAAAACTATACCAAAGCTGGACTGGAATGCTCTCATATTTGCAGCACAGTGTGTAAGTTTGCAATTCTATTTTTCAGTTACTCTGATTTATTTGAAATATATCTATTTGGAAACAGGCATCAACCTTTCTTGTAAGTTATATGGAAGTTGTAACACCAGTGAGATAACGAGTGTTGCTTAACTCTTCTATCCATTGCAGGTAGGGCACCAGGAAGACCTCCCAGAGACCTTGCCTGAGAGTTATGATAATGATGAAGACCTCCTGAAGAAGTTGCATCATATACTGCTAGAGGTACTACATTTCCATTGTGTTTCTGAGAATGAGTAGATGTAGTTATTGAATCCATGTTATGGTTAGACC